GACAAACAACCTGTTGATACCCTGTTGCCACATATTGTGTGATACCGCTTCGCTGCAGCTTGCACTTGAACTGCTTTTTCTCTCACCGTTTCCTGTTGTCTGCGCCCTCTGCTGTCTATGACCTTTGTACTAGAGCATGGAGAACAATGCCACATGCAGAGACCATCCTACCATGGTGTCAAAGCCCTACTACAGAGTGGACCTGTTCAACAGGAAGATGACAAACGTCCTGCTCACATCTCTCCTGGTCACAACTATAGAGAACAAGACCGTGGCCCACATTGGTACCTCGACCGGACGCCTGCTTCAGGTATAGCATAATTTATCACCTTTAGCATTTGTCTTCATTTACTTGCTCCTCTACTAATGATCAACCCTTCATTTTGTGTTGGCAGCTTGTGCTGACAAGATCCAGCCCTGTCATCTTTGCCAATTACTCCTTGGTAGAAAACCAGAGGGTCTCCTCCATTGCTGCTGTGCATTCTTCAGAATATCTTCTCTTTGTGGTTGGAGACAAGGTACAGCTGCAGTCCCTTTGCACAGTATACCAATCTTATACCAGTCCAAGCTTAGCAGCCTCTGTGGGTAAATCGTGCTCTCACTATTGAAAGACATGGAGATCTCGTCACATTACAGTTACAAAAGAGCTGGGTAATTTTAGCACCTGCCCGGGTGTTCTCTTGCCTTAGGGCCAGCGAATGTCTTTCACTTTTAAAACGGTGTCACCCTTGTGACCATGAGAATCAATTAGTGGGTAATTAGAAAACTGAAGAACTTGAAATGACTGTCAGAGCCTTAAAGCGAATCATTAAATCAAACTGGTCATGTGACCTTAGAAAATGAAGCTCCTCTGAACATGTTTGTAATATTTTAATGACACTAGATAAGAGTCGTTTCAGCACTAGGAGCTGTCCAGCTGACCTCTTAAACAGACTATTGCTGAATGAGACCAAGTATCGGCTTACACGTCTCTCTCCATGAACAGGATCAATTATTAAGGAGCAAAAAAAATGATTCTACAGTAGTTTTATGAAACAAGCAGTGTCCAAAGTGCCAGTGTAAAAACTGAAGATTAAACATTATTTTATGCACACCTATGTCATTTACATTATCGCATACATCTTGTTTAAATCCTGCATTTAAGATTTTTACATGTGTCCTGCTAACACTATGAAATGGATGATCTGCTCAGGTGTTTAAATACAAGAAACAAGTAATAATGCAGACAAACATGTCAGGCAGAATACTTTTCATATTTAATGTGAGAAATCAATATTTGGTTTTGAAAAGAACATTTCTTATGCTGCTTATAGGCTTCATTATATGAAAAATAAAATGAAGAGTTTTTTCCCCCTAACAATAAGTGTGTGAGATGAAAACGGTTATTACTCTGTTTTAGATGATCCAGGTGCCCCAAAGAGGACCAGGCTGTCAACACTTCCTGACTTGTGCCATGTGCCTGACTGCCCCAAAATTCATGGGCTGTGGCTGGTGCTCTGGAGTGTGCTCGTGGGAGAGCGAGTGCCACAATCGCTGGAGAAACGAGTCCTGCCCACCTGGGATCTCCGGAGTGAGATTTAGTCTAATAATCCACAATCTCTGAATCTGAAATCTACAACTTATGACAGCATTCATTTTCAATGGTGAACTATACATTGTCTTTTATTAACACAGTTCTTTCCACGGACTGCTCCCCCTGATGGTCAAACAGAGCTAACGCTGACTGGGTGGGAGTTCCAGTCGCCTTTGAGACCCGTTATCACCTCCAGAACCCACCAGATCCGACTGGGACAGACGTCCTGCACTGTGATCCCAGCCAAAAGCAACAACACACAGTGAGTGTTGTTGCTTTTGCAAGGCTTGTTTTGGTTCCAAGAACAAGGTTTTTGTGTTATAATCATTATCAGCAAATCTATCAGTAGTTTTTTTTTTTATATCTTCGCTGCACTGTGATATGCCCTATTTATATTAATGCTTGCTCATTATTCTATAACGGTCTTTGGAAACAGCAAAGATAAGTCACCGAAGGTAATTTAGTCTCCTGTTGTAGTCAGACAGTTTTAATTCACCATAAAATTAAATTGTTAGTAGTTTTGTTGGACATGTCTAATGCAAGAGTTTTCTTCTGATACTCAGCTTGGTGTGTAAAATTCGCTCTGGGGCCACTGAGCTGTTCAAACCAGTCAACATTACAGTGGAAGTGCATGAGGGCAAAGTGGAGGGACGCTACTCTATTGAAGGGAAGGCAGAAATGCCAGGATTCACGTTTGTGGTAACCTTTGTTAATATCTTGCAATTCTTTTTTCCTTGTCTATGAAGAGGGTTTGCTTTACCACAATATCAAAATAAACTGACTTCTTCAGGTTCCCAACATCACAGAAATCCAGCCCAACTATGGCCCTCGTGTTGGGGGCACACTCATCACAGTGAGTGGGCCTCACTTGGACGCTGGAAAGACCAGGAGAGTCACTCTTAACGATGTGGCCTGCGACATAAAAAGGTACAAATACAAAACCTTACGGGCTTTGTAGCACAATCACTTACTCAGTTTCTCAAGTGTTTGTCTTAGAGCTTGTAAAGTTGTCTTGGTTTTCAGAGGTTAAGAAAATGACAGTGTCGTTACTGGCATGATGTTTTAAGCAAACATGTTCAGGCTTGTTTGGAAAAGAATGTGGAAAAGTACTGGTTAAGCGTTAAAAGACTCACAAGTGAACTATTTTTTGCTCCAGTTCTTGATGATAACACAAATATATTTTAGAGCATGAAGCCTTTCGATTTGCTCCAGTTTGTCTGTTGTGACGTGTCACTCACACATAGCTTTGTCTCTCTGCAGGGTCACAGCGCCTAAAGGCAACGTGTCTTCCATCATTTGTTTGTCCAAAGAAATCTCAGAGGTGAGAGATGTTCCTCTGAGTGTGTTCATTGACAAGTCTCCTGTTCTCACAACAAAGGTGTTTTACTACAAGGAAAACCCAAAGATAACAGACGTCCGGCCTGACTGTAGCTTTGACAGGTAATGCCACAGAGACCTCAGCACAAAAACTGCTGCTGTGTGTACATACTTTGAGGGCATGATCGGAACATTTTGCATTTGCACTTCACTTTTGTATATTATTCATTTTTCTGAAATGGCAGATTCGTTAAAAAAATGGAATTTAAACGTCTGTCTTTTTGTTGCAGAGGTTCAAAGATTGTCATTGAAGGGGAGAACCTGGATTCTGTTTACCGCACCATCATCCGCTTTAAACCCAATGAGAGCCACCTGAAATCTGTGTCAACGGTACAGTTCCATCATCGATCATTGTAAATATACAGTGCTCAAAAAAATTAACAACACGTGCACCAATGAGGCAACATTCAAAACGGGAATGGTTTTACAGCTGGAGGCCACTGATATTTTTCCCTTCTCATGTTTTCTTACTGTTTTTTTTTTTTTAAACTCGTTTTCCATTTGGGTAGGCTCAGTGTCACCACTAGTAGAATGAGGTGATCCCTGCACCCTACAGAGGTTGCCCAGGTAGTCCAACTCCTACAGGATGGCACATACGTTTGCTGTACTTCCTACCATAGTCTCAAGAGCATGGAGGAGATTCCAGGACCCAGACAGTTTCTCTAGAAGACTTGGACAGGGCCTTGACCAATCAGCAGGACAGGTGTCTACTCCTTTGTGCAAGGAGGAACAGGATGAGATCTGCCAAAACTACAAAATGACCTCCAGCAGGACACTGGTGTTCAGAAACAGACTGACGAGGCCCGACATCCTCAATGTGCTCGGTGCTCACTGCCTGACACTGCTGAACTGCGGCACCATGAGCACATGAGAACATGTAACCAACATGAAAGGGTCTGGAGAAAGTAATTCAATTCAATTCAATTCAACTTTATTTATATAGCGCCAAATCACAACAAATGTCGCCTCAAGGCGCTTCATAGATACAGAGAAAAGCCCAACAATCATATGACCCCCT